TCATGTTAGTAAATAAACTAATATTATCATACTATTATCATAATTATAATGAAATCCAATTGTAAAGTGTTACTAATTATAGAATAGGATAAAGACACTTAAGAAGAGATAATCTTGAACATTTTTAAATATCCAATAATAGGCAAATGAATAAAATATGCATAAACTAATTTGAAAAGGAGAGGTTAAAACTAATCTAATACATGCTTCTGTTACAGAACAAATATCTCTTTGTCTGAAAAGCATCTTCATAATTCGCTATGAAAACACTGATGCACTGTGTGATCTTCATAGCACTTGTCGAAGCAAGCGGAGCTGCAAGTCATTTGAATTTAGCATATAGATGTCTGTGACAGATGTTTTTTACTGTGCTGATTGTTTATGTGCATCATATTCGTTGTTCTGTTAGTATAAGTAAACATCTTTTCCCAGTATTTAAACAGAGTTTGTGTCTCTGTAGCACTTCACCGATGTCTTTTTACTCTGCCGCCCCACCATTTGTTCACTTCTGATGTGCAGGTAAAGCAGTGTTGCCAACTATTTCCAATGAAAAGTAGCTAAAACCTGCCCGAAAAGTAGCTAAATGTTGCCAGATGACGTCACTCACTTTTTTGCATATCAGTGACATCATCACGTAGTATAAGACAAGCGTAAGCCCGTCATGTCTCTATTCTCTGAGGCGCCGTGTATTATATAATATTATAAAAAATTACATCCAGATGCACAATAAATAGGTTCTTGATAACATATTACTTTGCGTGATGATGTCATTGCATCTTTTGAGTCACTTTTTAAAAACTGCTAAAAGTAGTTTAAAAGTGAATGTTAAAAGTTGCTAAATTTGTTGCTAGGTGCTTATTGAAAATAAAAAAGTTGCTAGGGTAGTATGACAAGTTGCTACATCTAGCAACAAAATTGCTAAATTGGCAACACTGAGGTGAAGTGCCTCTAAACACAGCGCTCCTTCTGTTCAAAACATGTATTGCGACTCGTTCAACATTTCTACCAGTTTGAATTGCCACATATTTTAATCCATTTTAAACCAGCTTAAGGTGAATTGTTACAACTCTAGTTATAACTGATCAAAATGACAGTTTTTTATCTATTATGCTATTTTTTACAGAGATTAATGAATATGAACAGTCACGTGCAGTATGAAAACGAAAAAAATTAGACCACTTAAATATGAGGACACTAAAATGAATGGTCTTTTTTGAAGTTTTATTTTTCAGAAGTTCGACAAGCTTGAAACTCACAACCTTAAAAACAAACAGGCAGCATTTCAGTGGATCCATTGCTTGTGTACAGTTATAAAAGCTAAACAATAAAATGTCATATTATGAATCCTAAACCAACAATGGAAAACTTTTAACTGCCGCGCTTTTATGGTAAATGAATGTAACATTGAGATTCCGTTTGGCCATCACAGATAAGGTGCATTTGTATGAAACGACCATACATTTTGTCAGTCCATAGAAAATAAACTAAAAGCAGGAGAACTGAAGTGAGTACTAATAACAAGCTGCCATAAGAGGGTAGTTTATACCACAGAACTCCTATTACTACTATCACCACTACAGTTTAACAGAGTTGTTTTTAGGTACACTATCATGTACTCATTGCACATTCTACTAAATATTCTAGTTTTCATATTTTTGTCTTAAATGCTGAGTTGCACAGCAAGTAAAAGATGTAGCCTATTTGTCCAGTTCAGTTTATACAACATAACTGTATCACACACACACACACATTGATTAAAAATGTGTAATATAATTGATCATGCTGAATAACACTTTAAGACCATTTCCTGTAATATGAATCAATATGAAATTACATAATGTCACATTTATATACAGAAGATTAAGTTCTTGTTTTCTAAGCAGATTTGCATATAAGAGCACTTGAATGAAGACTGCTTCATAGATGGACGTGTGTATTTTAGGACCGGCAGCATTTTAATTATGTTGAATGTTTTTGTTGCATTAATAAAGTCACATGATTAGCATTATTAGCTTTGTCATAAGTATTGAGTTCTGTACCAATCGTTTCTTTTTGCTAATTTTAAAAACATACATTTGACACTAACATGTGAGTGCGTTCTTAAACACCACTTATTGGCCATCGTGTTCACATGCTTATCAGATTTAACTGTGATTGACCATGAAGGCGGTGGTAGTGCAGTGGTAGCAGGATCGCCTCACAGCAAGAAGTTTGCTGGTTCGAGTCCCGGCTGGATCAGTTGGCATTTCTGTGTGGAGTTTGCATGTTCTCCCCGTGTTCACGTAGGTGTCCTCCGGTTGCTCTGGTTTAACCCACAAAGACATGCAGTGAATTGAATATGCTAAAACTGACCGTAGTGATGGGTTGTGGCTGGAAGGGCATCCGCTGCATAAAACATATGCTGGATAAGTTGGCGGTTCATTTTGCTGTGGCGACACCAGGTTAATAAAGGGACTAAGCCGAAAAGAAAATGAATGAATGGCCGTGAAGGTCATCGGTTTACCACACTCTACTGCTGCGCCCGAAATCGCATAATTCCATACTATATAGTACGCAAAAATCAGTACGCAAGCCAAATAGTATGTACAAATTCATAGAATTCTAAAAGCAGTATGCGAGAAGTACCCAGATTACCTACTACCTCTACAAGAAGTGCACATCCGATGAATGCTACACTGTCCCATAATGCTTCGCAAGAGAATTCATGAATAGGAGTGAAGCGATGCAAAATCACGTGATCATGACAAAATGGCGGATGTAGAATAACTAAGTTCTATTCATACTACCCACATTCATACTATATAGAGTGTACTTTTCTAATGGTTGAGTGGTTCATTCAAATCTAGTACCTACTTAGTGGTAGATGACTTCAGACGCAGCCACAGATACACACACTAGAGAATTTTTATAGAGCATATGACCTCAATGGCCAATCAGCTGTGTTTAAGAATGTACTCATCAACAGTGCTTAAATGTTAGGGGGCAATTGATGTTTTTATCATTTTAGTGCCGATTTGTATCAAAATCGATACTTTTGGTAACAATACACAGGATAATAACATCTGACCTTTTTTAAGAGTCCGGGTATACAACCAAGATCAATTTCAACTCAAAATTCTCTAAATTCTAATGTTTTTCCTCAGAACATACAACTTATACTGTAATATTTATTCACTTTTAATTCTAACAAGTCTAGATTGAGGATAACAAAACAGTCAAAGTCATGTTTTTTTTCATGGTGGAAACAAGTTTCCATAATGTACAGTGCATTCAGAAAAATTTAATAGTCAGCCTATTATTTCCCATTCTGACAAGTCAGTTTAAATCCTTTTAATGTATTTGTTTTTATAAGGCCCTATTCTGTAAATCTTACAGTATTTTGATTTCATTTTATACTAAACACAATGATTGAAGCATTAAAATATTCTGAACTCTAAGTTAAAGACCAGATTACACCAAGAATGATAAGTAGAAAGACAAGCAATTTTGTCCTGTCCCTTTAAATCAGGGGTCTCAAACTCGCGGCCCGCGGGCCATTTGCGGCCCTCAGTGCAATATTTTGTGGCCCGCGCCGACCGCTGTACTCTGACAGAATCAGCGGAGTGGGGAGAGAGAGCGCTCCCCGCTCCGCTGATTCTATCCGTACACAGCGCGCTTGTCACTCAATGCGCGTTGTCGCGCGCATTCTGATCAGCTGTGTTGTCGCGCGCGTACTCAAGAGCGGTGTTATCGCGCGCCTACTGAAGGGCGGGACCGAGGGTGTGTCGCGTTGCGGCGGCACTTTTGATCATTTTGGAAGGGCACTTTCTTTGCAAGACTAAAAAGGGCATGTGCTCTGCACAGGTTGAGCCCTATGTGTGCACGTGCCTGCCCTGTTGATATTATAGGTAGATACAGACTGGTACAGACTGATGTGACTGGAGTGGGGTGGGGGTGTTTTATTTATACATATATACGCCTTTTTTTTAGGTGAGGGAATGGAAGTTTTGAGTGAGTTCCCCCACTTTTTCCCTAGGACTTCAATAAGTCAAAGTACAGGTCTAGACTTAATGATGAACATCTTCAAGCCATACTGAGGGTCTCAACTGCTTCCGCTCTAAAGCCAAATGTGGTTCAGATTTGTGAGAAGAAGCGCTGTCAAGTCTCTGGCAGCAAGAAGTAGGCAAAAGATGCCATGTTCAGAAGAACTGTTCATAATCTTCACTCAATGTTCTATTAATGTTCAGGACACTTCATGTTCAGAGGAAATAATTAAAACTGTTAATAATGACATTTGAGGACTTTTTTTTTGTGAAATCCCTTATGCGGCCCAGCCTCACCCAGACTTTGCCTCCTGCGGCCCCCAGGTAAATTGAGTTTGAGACCCCTGCTTTAAATACTCAAGCTATTTACATTGTGTATCTGTCAATGCTTTGGTAGTTTATCAGCTGGAGAAAATCGTTCTAATAACAATTGTTCCTCTCTATCATTACTGTTATAACAGCACTGCAACATCTCTATTTTAATACAATTAGAACTTTTCACCCTCTGTGTCAACAGCTCCTAATGCTGGAAAATGTGGCCCTGTTGTACTACAATGATGCTAGAATAATGGAGGTCATGACTGAGCTTCACAATGGACGACATGCAGATACATTTATAGTTAAAAGAGTCTAAATAAGAGACATTAAATACCGAAAAAGGCACAAGTGCTTGGATGTACAATAAGGGCGAGCACAAAGCTCTTATGTTAGTATATCATCTACTATTAGGTTTGAGTTAGATAAGTTGTTTATAAATACCTACTTGCTGTTAGTTTATTAGAATGTGACAAACGTCTGTTATAGATGCTTCTCTGATTGGCTAATTCTAGCAGGAGTGGAAGAGAAAATCCATTAACTTCTAAAGTGCTTGAACGTTCACAGACTATGCGTTTCATGCAGTGAATGGGGACAAGGAAAAACACCGACACGTGAGGTATGATTGTGAGCATTGGAGGATTTGGTGGGCGCTCACCGGCTTCAGCCATGGTAAATACGGACACGCTGAGATATAGAGCCACGGCACAGAGGGCACGACTGCAGGGCATCACTACAGGTCTGACAACAGCATACATGGCCACACGGCAGGAAGATCACCTGAGACTACACAAAGCAGAACAAGAGAATGGCCTTTAAAAGCCTCTGAAAAAAAAGTAACTCTTTTCATTACAAGCTCAAATAATAAATCAGTATTCATAATATTAATATTATTATTATTACTTAACTTAATAGTAGTTTTTTATATTTTGTATTACATGTCTGTATTCTATATAACTTTTACATACAGTAGTTAAAAATAATTTCTTTTTTAAATAACTTTCTGTTTGACTATAGATCTGTAACAATAAAGTTACCATAGATTTCACAAAATCCTTCAGAGCAGAGCTGTTTTCAACATCAACCATCTTTTTTGAGTGCAAACGAGTATGTAAGAGTGAGTTCTGAAAAATCATGTGACATTCAAGACTAAACCCAGTAAAAAAAATTCTGTTTAATAGACGTCTAATAGACATCTAAATGTACAGTAGACAGCTTGGCTAAAACAAGGCTAAACTTTGGCTGTCAGTGAAAATTTAATAGACATCTAAGAATAGCCCAAAACTAGACTAGTCATCAAATAGACAGATTAGACAGACTTTATATGTGTAGTCATTCATTTCTGTTTATTTGATGACTAGTCTAGTTTTGACCTATTCTTAGACGTCTATTAGATTTTCACTGACAACCCAAATTTAGCCTTGCTTTAGCCAAGGCGACTATGTTTTTATCTATTAGACACCTTTTAAAAACAATGCTTGCTGAGAACTGATGCTCAACACTTAAAATTCAGCTTTGCATCACAGGAATATACACAGGAAAATAGTTTGCAAACATGACAAAAAATTGCAAAAGTCTTTTCTTTTTACAATAATTATAAATAAACAAATTGATTATTTTTGCTCATGCTTTAATGTTAATATTTACATTACTAAGTAAGCTTCTAAAATAAAGGAGTTACATCAGCTAATATAATCATGGGGAGGTTTTATGTTCTTTGTTTATCGGTTAAGTCCAGTCAACTCATGTTAAACTTTTTTTTACAGATATGTAAAAACTTTAAACACCCTATAGATTTTCATGGTTTTCCATATCAGGACATAATAAAAAAAACAATACCATCCTTGGAAAGTATTAATATTTGGAAGATAAAACCTCAGATGAACAACATCACACAACACCTCACACAGTCTCGTTATTTGTTTAACAAAAATAAAGCCAAGATAGAAAAGCAACGGGTGACAAATTTAGGACAGCCTATGATTTGGATGCCTGTATTTTCACATCTTTTAGACCATTCTGGAGGAGTTCTTGAGTTTCTGCACAGCATTTCATTAAGGATGAGCTCTGGACTTCGACTGAACTATTGCAATACTGTGATTTTTTTCTGTTGTAGATTTGCTGCTTTGTGTGGGATTAATGTCTTGTTGCATGATCCAATTTTGGTTGAGCTTTAGCTGTTGGACAGGCATAGTGTTAACACACACCTGAAAGCTCTAGACCAACAAAAATTCTGCTGATGATCAGTTCAGGCAATTGATTAGCCCTTGACTAATTTTTGTTAACATTACATGTTGTTGTTCATCTGAGCATTTATTTTTCAACCTGCCAAAATTAGATTTTAATAACCTGATATGGAAAATTGGAATTCCAAAGAATGTCCTAACCCTTTTCACATGGCTAAACTAAAGCACTTTATATACTATACATACACAGTTGCTGCAAAGTAAGCAGTGTTAAATAAAATTGCGCTTAAATTTCTACCATAGACCAATGTTTGCTCAAGGGTGTCCAATGGCAGAAAATTGTATCTAATTTGTTATTATTATTATTATTATTATTATTATTGCAATTTTTTGGCCTGATTTTGTCTCACACCAGCTCTTTCTTCCAATTCAGTTAAAGTATATAAGCGCCTTGTAGTGTTGCTAAAGGCCTTACCTCAAGCTCCATGCAGACAACACACTCAGAGTTGAAGCGGTCAGGATTTGGGGTCGTGGGGGTTAGAGGTGCACTGGGGGTCAGTGGAGGAGTGAGCTGATGTGGAAGTGGAACACTCTGAGCGAATGGACCAGCTTCCTCCATCTCTTTCAGTGTTTTCGGCAAAGCTAAAGAGAAAAAGATGACAATGCTCTCAGTCACCGAACAGAATTCACAAATGTCACCTATTAAAAAATATGATGTCCTCAAGATGATTCTTACGATCAGACAGAGTTCGATCTCTGGCCCAGTGGAGAAGAGCTTTCTGCACGCCAACCTCGTTGATCCCCAACTGTAAAGATAGAGATTTTATGAAAGGAGATTATAATAAAACTGTGGCAATCAGTAGTTTGAGAAATTTATTCTGAAACCTTCAAAAATAATCCCCATTTAGAATTCTCTCCTGAATCAATTCTGAGCATAGTTTTAGCAGCAGATGGCGCTGTTTTCTTTATAAACTGCAGTACACTACTTACGTTCAAATTCCTTACAAATACCACTTGAACCAAAAATAATAATTAATAGATGACGTTTAAACGAATTACAGTTAAGAATTACAGTTAAACAAACGAGTTCACATTAATCTCGTGCCATTAAAGCCAACTGACATGACCGATGCACAAGTGCCCTTCTTTGTATCCAGTTAAAACCTCGCGTACAGCGCCATCTGCTGTTACAACACCTCAAAACCGATTCAAGAGAATAGAAATTGTCTTTTGAAAATCTCAAAATCCATTTCCCAATTTATTTTTGTACCACTGTTGTACAATATAACAGACATTAAACTCAGATATGATTTTGAAACATCCTGGAAAGTCGACGGACCTTCCTGAGGTCTTTGGCAGTCATTCTTCTTAAGGCCTCAGCAGTGATGCGGTGGTGAGCTATGATTGGCAGGTAGTGCTGAGCTGAGAGTTTGCACAGTAGATTCCCTAGATCTCTGTCTACCGCTGCTTCCTGAGGAGAAGTAAGAGGACAGCACAGTGTGAGTAATTTTAAGATTTAAACACAGCATCTCAAGGCCTGAGCGGATCTCACCTGCATGCGCAGAGACAGTGGTTTGGCATCCAGAAGCCTCTGATACTGGATCATCCAGTAGTTCTGCTGGTTGGATTCACTCTTCTTCTCAATCTCCATCTGAATCGCAAAGAAAAAAAATTATCAAAAAATATATAAAGGTCTGCTAAAATTTCTTTATACAGTTGAATACAAAACAAGATATTTAGAAGAATGTTCAGAGAAAAAGCAGCCATTGACACTCATGGTAGGAACAAAAAAAAATACTATGGAAGTGTCAATGTTTTTCAAACATTCTGCAGAATATCTTCTTTTGTGTTCAACAGAAGAAAGAATGTCAAACATCTGAAATAAGTGGCGGATGAGTAAATGAGAATTTTAATTTTCGGGTGAACTATCCCTTGAGAAAAATTAATTATATCTTATGTGATTAAAAACAGGGTTGTTTTAATAATATTTTGTTTTATGGACCAAAACTCATAAAGAACAGGACAAAAGTAAATGTGTTAGAGTCTTCTGCCCCACCACATCTGTCACATTCAGGAGGAGATACAGAGGGAAATATTTTACTCAATCTAGTTTTAGAGAAATGAAGAGGATGTGAAACTTTAAATTAGATTCATTTATGTCTCGAATTTATCAAACCTTTTTTATTCTCGAGATCTCCACAGGGCTTCTTACCAGATCTCATCAGCCACTTCTTCATTCAAATTCATGGCTCAAGCTTTCTTAAATGTGTTTAGTGCACATTGTAGCCCCAAAAGCACTGATATCACATAAAAACATTGATATCAGTTTGTCTAATGAAATGAATCTAATCATGTTTAATATATTGAGTCTTGTGTGTTGTTCTGTGCAAAGAAATAACATGTTCTTTTTATGAAATTTGTTATATATAGTTATATATATTGTCATCAGTAGTTTACAGAATAAAATCAAAATGAAATATAAATAAACGTCCAAGTAATGTCCAAGTAAAATGTCCAAGTGTGCTCTACAACAAAAAGAAATAAAAGGTTCCAAACTATTTTAAATAGATTAAATATATTTTATTGTAAAAATATTAAAAATCATTTGAATGCTTATAACATGTTTTTTTCTGATATTAAATGTCACACATAGATACTGAACCATAAAGTAAACAACACAATATAGGACCTGTCAATAATAAGAGAATAAAAATATGCATAAAAAACTGGAACACAATAACAAATGAACATTGCTAAATATTTGTGAAGTGGTTCTGTGAAATGATCCGGTTTCCAGTTCAAAATGTAGGAAGTGGGTCCAGACTTAAGGCTGAATTATACTTCTGCGTCAAACGTCGGCGTATGCTACGGCGCTGACGCATAGCCCTTCGCCGTGGCCGTCGGCGTCGCTGACGTGCACCTCTCAAAAATTGTAACTACACGTCGCAACGACGCGTATCGCAAGCTCTGTGATTGGTCGGCTTGGTAGCGCTGACGAGTCTGGGCGGGACTGTGAGCCGCGCGAATGGCGCGAGCTGGACACGACCCCAATGGAGCGATTGTTTACAAGTGTGGAGTTCTGTGAAGGAGCTCCTGATGGAAAGTTTTGTTTTGTGTTTACCACATAGTTAAAGTTGTTGCACGTCCGCCAGTTCCTGCCTCAAAATGAGCGAGTTTAAGCCACTTGTACATCCAGGAAGTGTTCAGGAAAGCAAAACAGCAGCGAAGAAACTCGACACAGTGGAGCATTTACACCTCACTGCCAACTAGCGTTTCGGAAGTGTTAATGCAGACCAACAGAGACAGCGCGCAGAAGTATAAATGCACAGCTACACGCGTTGCATGCGCCGTGGGCCACGCCGGTCACTTGACGCAGAAATATAAACCAGGCTTCACTCACCAAGACCAGTCTGAGCTCCTCCTCCCTCTGATCCTTCTGTTTGAGTAACTGCTGCAGCAGGTCAGTCAGAGCCGTCCTCTGGTCAGACAGCTCCTCCTTACACACACACACACACACACACACTGTTAGTGTAGCAAATACAAACAAACCAGACCTCCAGAATGCTGTGATAAAGCATAGTGGTGGCATGAGCGTGATGCTAAAACAGGAATGGAATGAAATGGCTGAGAGAGAAAGTAAACTCAAACAAACAAACAAACAAGAAAAGTGATGAGTGACAACAAACAGTCACGATTCCTCTTCTCTACACTCCACAGCATGATGAAAGGAAACCAGCACATCGTCATCTACCGCTGCTACGTACCTGCAGGTTCTCAGTGTCCAAATTCCTCCTCTTAACCTCCAGCTTTGTGAGCTGCATTAACTCTGCCTCTATGAGTTTAATCTATGGATACAAGCATACAGTGGGGGTGTGAATGGCCCCATGGAAACATGAGCAAACAGCCACCTGTTGACTTCTGAATTCAATGAGAGGTGGGATGTGAGAAGCATGAGCTGACTGAAACCCCCCAAAGAAGATATATGACTAAAATGACTAGTACACAAGAATACCTTAAAGGGATAGTTCGCCCAGAAAACTCTTTCATCATTTACCCTTTACTTATCACAGACTCTGTTTTTCTGTTGAAAGATTAATGTAGAAAATCGGTAACCATTGCCTACCATAGTGGGAAAAACAATGGAAGTAAATGGCTACCGGTTTCCAACTTTTAAAAAAATATGTTCTTTTGTGTTCAACAAAATAAAAACACTCTTAAAGGTTTGAAAGCAATTGAAGGTGAGTAAATTGAGAGTAAATATTTATTTTTGGGTGAACTGTCTCTTTAAAAGGTATTGCCTGACCACTGAAAACTCATTAAATGTCTGTTTTTTTATGTTTTTAAAAGAAATAATGCATTTCAGCAACAACACATTACATGTATCAAAACTATCAGTATATTATTTATAATTGTACATTTACACATTAACATTTTTATTTTTTTAAATGATGTTCTTTTTATTAAAGTATCCTTAAAATAATAGTGATTTCTTCAAAATATAATGTTTTGAGTGTATGTTAGATTAAATTAATGCAACCCTAGTGTGATTGAGGCTTATTTCAAAAACATTAACCCCCTCATTTATAAATGGTAGTATATATGTTAATACATCCCAGTGTTGATGAAGTTGAAGAGATAGTTCACCCAAAACTGAAAATTTACCAAACATTCTTTCCACAACTGAACATAAAAAAAAGATAACCAAAAAAGAAACGAAATAAAAAACACTATGGAGGTCATTGACTACTATCAACTGTTTGGATGCAATCACTCTTTAAAAGCTCTTATTTTGTGTTCAAAACAGGGTTTCCACAGGTCTTGGAATTTCTAGAATAACATGGTATTTTAAAGGTCTATTACAAACATCAAAAGTCATATTTTTAGTATTAATTTAAAAGTGTACTCCTCATTAGATTTTTTTCTATTACATTTATTTTTTACAGTTTATTACAGCCTATATTAGGTGGCCTAAATGGTTCCAGACCAAATTGAAAGTATATCTTATTTGGTTGCAAGCTTATTATTTTTTTTTTACTTCAAGTCTAAAATTGGTGCAAATGAACCATTATTTAATGTATTAATCAATGTTGTATTAATGTTATATTATCTAATTGAAAAGATAAAAAAAAAACTCCTTGAATTAAATAAGGAAATTCAATGTAATTTCCAGTACAGCTTTGCTTTGTGCTTTAGCATCATGTCCTAGCATATATGACTTTACAACACGTAATTCAAGATATATTTTACATTTTGTCTGCTCAGTGCTCGTATGTCATAAAAATTCAGCTTTTTAGCCAGTGAAAGTCAAGGAATTTGACATTTGGCTTACGAGGGGAACTCTGTCAACCCTCAATAAAAGACAATTCTATAGGTTAGGAAAAACACAAAGGTAAATAAATGATGACAGAATCAACATCTTTGGGTGAAATATCCCTTAAAGATTTTTTAAATGGAATATTGACTACACATCTGAAGCACACTGGACCCCAATAAACTGCAGTATGATATCAATACCTGTATGTGTGGGATCACAGGTCCTAAATGAAAACCTAATGAGCATACCTGATTACGGATATAAGCGTGCACGCTGTCTTTCTGGAGCTGAAGGGCTTCAAAGGCGGCCTTCTGCATTTCCTCCTGCACACAAACAGCCGGTCAATGTTAGTTTGTAGAACTACCTGTCCAAAAATGCATTGGAATATCTATATATATTAGACAAATTAACTGCAAACTCATTTTTAATATACATTATATACCTTGTAGGTTATCAAAGTAAATAGTTACCTCTTGAAGGATCTGACTAATGGCTTTGCTTTTGTCTAGCTGCTGAAGAGACAACACTTGGTCAAACTTCTTATCCATATTGTCCAAACTAAACAAATGAATAAAAAAGAGAGAAGGGAAAAGGGAAATAAAAAAAAGATATTAGACCATCTCCTTGTCAGTGAATTAAGCATTGTGACATTAATTAATAAACAACAAGCATTGTTGTTGTGATGCTTGATTCTTGCATTACTCTAATTTTCAAAGAAATAATAACTATTTTGCGATGTTTGTAAATGAATCAGCCATTTTACATGAATCATTTAAATAAATAATACGATCAATCACTCATTAAAACAGGCACTAGTGACAACCAGTTTTAATATATTTATTTATCCACGATAGACCTACAACAGATACCAACAAAAAACACGCTCAGCAAAATGTCTCCAAAATCCAATCACACGTGCTCACAAAAGGTTCATTTGAGACTAAATAAACCATCCTGAGTGACCATTTGTGATTTTATCAACAGGGCACATGTTGATAGAAGGTGTAACCAAAAAAAGTAAAAACAAACTGTAGAGAGTTTAGAACTATGGTGGGAAGTGAATCACCTCTTGCAGGTTTCGGACACTAGAAACTTTGTCTTGGCTTCTCTGGCCTCCTGCAGTAACCGTACAGAGCAGCTCTCGGACAACATCCTCTGCATGGCATCTGCAAAAACACAGTCATCTTCAGTGAAACTGCAATTACCTGAGGTTCTTTCAAATGTTATTGATATGATACTTTTAGAGACACTTTGTAGAGAGATGGGAACATATAATATTATGGAAGTTAGAGTGACGTTAGGACATGATGCAGGTATTAAAAATATATACACTCACCGGCCACTTTATTAGGTACACCTGTCCTACTTCTCATTAAAGCAAATTTCTAATCAGCCAAACACATGGCAGCAACTCAATGCATTTAGGCATGTAGACATGGTCAAGATGATCTGCTGCAGTTCAAACCAAGCATTAGAATGGGAAAGAAACTTGATTTAAGTGACATTGAACGTGGCTTAGTTGTTGGTGCCAGACGGTGTTTCAGAAACTGCTGATAAATTAGGATTTTCACACACAACCATCTCTGAGGTTTACAGAGAATGGTCCGAAAAAGAGAAAATATTAAGTGATGGTGATGGTGTAAGGGTGTGGGGGATATTTTCTTGGCACACTTTGAGCCCATTAATACCAATTGAGCCCATTAGTAAAAATGCCAAAGCCAATCTGGGTATTGTTGCTGACCATGTCCCTCGCTTTATGACTTCTGATGGCTACAATCATCAGGATGACATGCCATGCCATAAAGCGTGAATCATGTCAGACTGGTTTCTTGAACATGACAATAAGGTCACGGTACTCAAATGGCCTCTACAGTCACCAGACCTCAATCCAATAGAGAATCTTTGGGATGTGGTGGAACAGAAAATTCGCTTCATGGATGTGCAGCCGACAAATCTGCAGCAACTGCGTGATGCTATCATATCAATATGGACCAAAATCTCTGAGGAATAGTTAGAGTATCTTGTTAAATTACGCCACAAAGGATTAAGGCAGTTCTGAAGGCAGGTCCAACCCGGTACTAGTAAAGTGTACCTAATAAAGTGGCCAGTAAGTGTATATAGTTCTAATGACTTGCTTACTAAATTAATAAACAATCATTTTGAAACCATGAAGCCATTTAAACAATAAATGTAACTTCGAAAACTCACCTGCCACTTCCTTTTTCCTAAGAGAGTTGGCTTCTTCCTGTGTGATGGTAGTAAGGTGTTCCATTCGTATGCTGAAAACAAAAACACATACATAACTTTATATCTTAATAATAATAGAAGGAACAAAAATAAACTCTGGATGAAAAACTCTGGATAAATACATAAATCATGTTGTTATGATGAGATAACCTCAGTGAAAATATATTGTACAAATGCTGTAATGTCAAATTTTTGAAAAGCATATTATAGTGTATTACTGTAGATTAACTATGTATAAGCTTGACAACTGTTCACACCTTAAAATTTTTTAATTTGACTGTAATTTAATAATTCACACATTTTGTAAAGCTGTTTTGGAACAATAATTATAGTGAAAAGCACCATATAAATAAAGTTGAACTTCTGATTGAAAATTTTCTGTGCGTTTATCTTCTGTCCACCATACAAAAGTTTAGGGTTAGTAATATTTTATATTATTTGATAAAATAAATTATTAATCATTAGTTTTATTAACGTTCATTACAAAGACTAAAAGTGACATTTATCTTTATACAAAAATATAGTGCCTATAGAAAATCATCATACCCCTTTGAAATAATTACTTTATTTGTTTGTCATAAAGCCTGAAATCAAACCACATTCCAAATAACTGTTTTTTAAAAGCAGGGTGTAATGTGAGTAAAGGTATAGATTTTAACAGGGTTTGATGATTTTCTATAGGCACTGTATATATTTAAAATGAAATAAGTTCTTTTAAACTTTCTGAATCCTGAAGAACCTAAATCACAATTTACACAAACTATCACACAATCCAACTTTTTTAAACATCGAAAATAAGAAGAAATGAAAAAAAAAATTGTCAAATGATATCTGAAATATTATGTGAATTTAAAGACTAAAGCATAATCTGATAAAAAATTAATTGAAACAAAATAGAAAACAGTGAAATTTAATTTCTAATGATTCTTCGCAACATTACTGTTTTTAAAGTATCTTTTGATTTTTACAAAATGGAGCTTTGATTAAAAAAAAATATATTGAACACTAAACTAACTGTAATCTAAAATTGATAATGGTAGTTTATATCTAACAAAAGACAGATTCTGATAACAAATTAACAAAGTGTTTGTGAAACCACAACTAAATATAATATGTTAGATCTCTCTAACATGTCCAAAAATACTTAAATACAAACATAAATGCTGAACTACATACTATAGCAGCATCACAGCTCATGCTGTAACTGGACATCTTAAGTGGCACGGCACCATTAGACAGAGAGAAATTCACTTAGCAAGAGCTGCACTGATGGCAGGAGCCCATATTCCATTAGAGTTCGACCCATGTGTAATTTCCACTTACCGGTCCTTCTCCAGGGCTTGCAAAAATGCAGCGCTTTTTTCCTGGCTGTAATAAGATGAGCACAAACACACAATACATAACTACCCTTCATCTACAAAATACTAATGGATTTGGATATGGATATGTACAAAAATGCAAGAGATTTCAGAAAGGTTTCCCACTGTGCCCTCACCGTTTGTTATCAAGCAGAAGATCAGAGATGCGACTCATGACAGCGCTCTCTGCCTGGCGGACTTTATCCAGCACTTTCAGCCTCTCTGCTTCCTGGGCCTTTTGCTGCTGAGATACACCTAACTCTAACCGCTCCTGCTCCTGAGAGACAGAAAACCACAAAGACAAGTCTTCCTTTAAATACGGTCATGGTAAAGGTATTTAAAAAGCGATATTTATTTTCCAAAAACGTATGCATAATCTTTCGAAAAATCTTGAGCAACACAATTTATGTTACATGAGCACCAAATCAGCATAATGTAATAATTTCTGAAAGATCATGTGACACTGAAGACTTTTTACTAAAATATAAATATAGTATGTATATAGATTTACATGAGAGAAATGGATGTATTTGCCCATATATGTATGTATACATATGTATATTTATGTACATGTATATATGTACTATTATTTTTTATTTTGTTTGTTTTGTTCCCACTGGTTATATGTTCCTAAAAAATCTATAAAAACTAAGTAAAAATATAAATAAAAATAAAAATATAGTTATTTCCCATTTCATTGATCCGTCAGCAACAATAATAAGCACACGTTTCAGCTTCTGGTTAACAGAAATATCTAATCAGCCAAACATAAAGCTGCAACTAAACACAACTCATGCATTTAGGGATGTAGATGTGGCCATGACAATCTGCTGAGGCAATCATCAAAATGTGAAGAAAAAAAGGATCTGAATCTGAATGTCAAGGTGAACAAGGCACAGTCTCAGATGGACTGATCTGAGTATTTCAGAAACTGCTGCTCTACTGGTTTTTTCATGCACAATCATCTTTGGGATTATAAGAGCATACTCAGAGGCAGAAAATTATAAACAGTTTTCTGTAGCTTAAAATGTCTTGATGATATCAAAAATTATAGGAGAAGGGCCAGACTGTTCTGAGTTGGAAAAATATAATATTAATTTGGCCTGCACAATATCCTTTTAGCATCAATATTGCAATATGCCCATTCACAATAGTCAGACCGCAAGAACTGTAATGTCAAACAGTTATTATTTTTAATCAGGAGCCACATTTGAAAACTCTCATGATTTGTGGAATCATTGCAACGTTTAACCATAAAGTTACCAAAACATGTATGACTCGTGTGTGTTTTTATTATTAAGGTAAGTTTTAAATATTCAGGCATAAAAAATTATATTTCTAAATCTAAGAAATAATTGAATTTATGTATATATCCAATAAAGACTTTACAGTGTTATTTTACATTTTATTATTAAATTTGTGTATCTGAATATTGTTCGACTTCCAGAAAATCAAAAGGGACTGTAAATTTTATTCGTACAGTATTGTTTCTCTACTGTATTTCTCAATGTTTGTGATTGGTTTGTTATATTTTATGTAAATGTACTCCCTTACAATATCATTCCAATGTATCAAAAATAATGCATTCTTTCCAAATAGACCCTTTCATTTCATCTGGTAAAATTATAGATTCAGTATCGCAATATATATTGAATGAAAATATAAGTGTCAATTTTTACCAATATCAAGCAGCCCCAAAAGTAACAATTTTAATAGTAACAAACAAGGCAATTATTAAACAAGGTATATACAGTGCTCACCATAAATGAGTACACCCCATTTTATAAATGAATATTTTTATCCATTTATAAGTGAAAATGGGTAATATATATTGATGCATTTGAACAAAACAGATTTATTAAACAGATATATTTATTGAACTAAAATATTTTAGTCCCAGAACATCTTTAGAAAGATACATTACATTACATTAAAATTCATGCAAAATATTACAAAAAAATTACAAACTACAACATTTTACCAAAATTGTATGTATTTTTTTCTATTTTTGGAAAATTTTAAATAACATTTTCCCCTAACATATAAATTTGGGCTATTAATTTTTTTAACCATTATTGTGAGTTATTTTGTTAGATAAGCTCCATATTTGGCTTCAGTATTGACTAATGTAATGTTTATGCACAAATATAATATTGTAAAGCATCCTATAGGAAATATGAATTTAAATGAGAGATTCGTGAGGGGTGTACTCATATATGCTGAGCACTATAACTACTACCTAGGTATGTCAAAATTGATCAAAATACCTTCCAAACCTGCACATAATAAAGTAGCCGGTGAGTGTATAACATTACAGCAAGCCATGCACCGAATATGCAGCCATAAAAATGACATTACTGTTTTCTGGCCTAAATCCAGCATTTATCCCAATTTGCCCCTCTCTAGCACTGAGATTTCACTCTTGCTTTAGCCATTATCACAGCACTACCTATTCACCACAAATGTGAATGCTTCCACATTCGAATTTGTGATCACAGGAATTACAAAAACGTCCTAGTCGTGGCACCCCCGCTCCGCATCAGTCTAAACTCTTTTAACACGTTTTTCGTCTAATACACTTAAGCGAAGCCATAAAGCAATGTTTTAAATCAGTGGTTTTCAATTATGTTCTTAGAGAACCAGTAAAACTACACATTTTGTGAATGTCTCCTTTGTCTGATACACCATTTCATGTCTTGATCTTTCAGGTCTTCAGCTCTCTGCATAAATGCAATGAATCAGGTGTACTTGATTAAGGAACTGCAGGAATGTAATTGAAAACCCCTGCGATAATAAAATATTGTGTGTGTGTGTGTGTGTGTGTGTGTGTGTGTGTGTGTGTGTGTGTGTGTGTGTGTGTTTGACTTTAAATACACTGTGAAGTTAAATTTGATTCTGCAATAAAGAATTAAATGTAGAATTTTAAGTTTGTGCTAAAATATTTTCTTTCCAATTTCTTGTGAATTAAAAAATTGTCAAATTCTCTTTATTAATTTATTATTAATGTAATATTCATTTATATTAAAGTATATATTATAATTATAGGTGGTTCATTCCGCTGAGCTGAGCCCTGATTAATAAAGGGACTACGCTGAAAAGAAAATAAAAGAATGAATATTATACTTATAATATTGTAATAATAAATTTCATGAAAGCAGTTGTAAAACATGTAATTTTTGTTTAGTTTCTTTGGCCAAGTTTATCTTGAAATTTCAGTTTTAGATCACAATCGTCATTTTAGAGTATTAAAAAAATCTAGTTTCACACTTACTTACAAACTAACTAACTAACTATTTAAAAGTATTAACACTGCAAAACCTTTAAAGAGAATTGCATTTTGAGCTTATGTCTTATGTAAAAAAAGTAACTTCAAATGGTTACCAGTTTGACAGACAGCAGGACGTCCTCTTTAAGAGAGCTGTTGAGGACTAGGAGTTTAGCATGCTCTCTCTGTTTCTCTTCAAGATCTTTCTCAAAGATCAGCTTTTCCAATTGTTTCTGCTCCTAGTGGAGAAGCAGAGAGAATGAGATGTAAATACCGCTTCACTAGACAATCCAACACAAAACTTAATCAAACATACCTTTCTTTTCTCATAGTCCATAAATTTGTTCTACAGTAAGAGAGAGAATACAAGATAACATCACAAATGTATGGCATTGATAGAACAATGGCACAGAAAGAAATGTGAGCACTGTTTAACAATAATGAGATTTAGACTGACCTGCCAGACTATCTCCTCACCATCAACACAGTCCATCTCCTGCTTCCCTCCATCATGCTCCAGCACAGGCAGGAGATACTGAGATGGAGGACAATACTCCAGACCCATATCTGTATAACATCAAAAATAAATGCTGAAATACAGATAATGCACAGAATGGCTGCCATATGGGATTGCAACCAAATCTGCATAATCTGTATAGCATGCACTCTGTATTTATTGGTCTGAATCTAGACAGACAGTAACGAATAAATATTAAAATACAGTGGTTGCCAGCAATTTCAACTCATATCTCCCCACTGTTTTGGGGGCTCCTGGATGGGAACCACTGCTGCAAACTGGTCTGTAAAATACAGTTGCTTTGTTGCAGAGACTGTGAAAACAGAGGTGTACCTGAGCAGAGGTAGCGCTGCACTTCCTCTGTGCCGCCTGTACACACTGACGCAGGTGGAAAGCTCATAACCTGTGCGTCCAGGATCAGGCTCTGAAACCACACATATACAAATATGAGAATGAGATCCCAGATATGAGTGGACACAGAGTTTATGAGCTTGATGTGATATTACACAAATATGTGTCTTGTTTTGATTTACTGAAATTGACATATAAGGTACTCACTTCCAGAGTGCGAACACTGGCCAGTTCTTTGGGTAATTCTCTGATGCTGTTCTCACTTATGTCGAGTGTCCGCAGGCTGCTCATGCGACCCACAGACACAGGCAACACAGTAAGGCAGTTCCCTGTATGCGTCAAAACATTGTCATTCGTTTAATCTTTTTTATTTCCACTTCATTTTTAAAATTGTGCCTAAAACCTAAAGTAAATTAAGACAAAAGTCATATGACGGTCACATTTTCAATGTTCTGAAAGACTTTTCAAACTTGAAACCGGCAAGCCCGAGTCATTCTAAAAAAGCATCATTGATTGTATCAAAGCAGCACATCAGCAGTTTACATAAAGGCATTAGCACATTTGATGGCATACAGTTTATAAAAGGTAAAAACTAAACTCTAAATGTTGCATTTTCTCTTAGTATTTTAGTTTTTTCCCCAAATGCTAGTTTTTTAAGCAACTAACAATAACAATGTATCACTACTTGCATGGTTTTAATGTTTAGTATCACAATGCAGGGTTTATAGTTCAGGGTAAAAAGCAGTACTAACCCCTCTTCTCAGTTTCCTGTAGGCAACATTTATTAACCCACTGATAACAATGTTTTGAACAAGAATAATCCAGGGTTAAGCACACAGAAATTAAGTTAACATGAAAAATGTTTAACAACTAAATGGAATATATTCCAGGAAGACAAAGTGATGAAAACAATTAAAAAATGAATATTATATGAACAAAAATAGATATTTTTAAAAACAAACCTTTTACATTAAGTGTCTGTAGATGCAGAAGACCTCCTATAGTGTCTGGCAGCTGTTTGATCTGGTTTTTCTCTGCATTTAGCACCTTAGAGAAAAAAACATGTTTTATGAAAGCAACAAATATAAAGTACTCTAGTTATTACAAAACATACACAGCAATTCAGTTGATATTGTTGGATTATTAACAATGAGGTTGATAACATTGTAATATTTATGAACAAATAAATCTTCTGCTTACCAAGGCTGCATTCAATTAATGCAATAAAAGTATTAATAAAATATGTATTTTTTTAATTTTCTTTTGATAATTTAAAAAAATTATGTTGTATCCCAATTTTTCAGAAATCATCCAGATATGGTGAGTTGGTGCACAGTAAAAAACTGCTGTTAACTTATCTATAATATATATATATATATATATATATATATATATATATATATATATATATATATATATATATATATATATATATATATATATATATATATATATTATTCTATTAGCATATTATTCTGTTTTTAGATTGTACAATTCAGAACTTTGATCTTATAAAATAGATATACCTGCAAGGACGAAAGCTGTCCGATCTCATCTGGAAGTGATGTGAGCTTATTTTCATGTAGATCCAAGACCTTTAGAATGAACAAAGAGATGTTATAACTAGACAATATAGCGAGACAGTTATTTATTTTTCATTGGTGACATCAGTCAGTTTCTCTCACCTTTAATGTTGCTAAGGCACCAAGACAGCAGCCTTTAGGTACGAGTGACCTCAGGTCATTTGTATGAAGAATTAACACCTACAGTTAAAGAAAAAACTGCTTTCAAAATTGTATTCGCTCCGACCACCAACAGTTCAGAGAAAGAAATATACAGACTCACTTTCTTCTGAAGCACTTTACACATAGAGAAGGCACAGGAGGGAACCTGAAGAAGCAGATATTTCATCATTTCATCATTTGTCCACAATGAAAATAGGGATTGTCACTAAGGTGTCTGAAGTGTACCTCTGAAAGCTCACAGGCAGAAATGTCCAGAATGTCATCAGCACCTGCTTCTTTGGCCTGCACAAAACATAGGCATGTGTTTTAGGATCTGCACTGTGGACGTTGCTTTAAAAAGAGGCTCTGCTCACACTTATAATCTCTATCAGTAACAAATGTGGGTGCGTTGCAAAGCAACAGACACTCACCAAACACAGCTGGTACTCGAGACGTTTCCTGGAATCGCCACTGGGTTTTTTCTTTTTGAACAAAAACATCGTGAGGCTTAGCGAGATTTTATTTGTCTAGTTAAAACCCCACAACATCCACTGGACGGTTCAGTGTGAAACCTGACTGAATGTGATGTTGACAATCTCCAAGAACGCCCTGAACTAATAGAAGTAGGACAAAAAAACACAAAAACAAACGCGTAAACTGACAAATAATAATTATTCAATATCCATAACCCTTCACAAATGTCCCGCTTTCATCAGTCTAAAGACTGGCTACGACAATTGCGCAACATTACCTTTATAAACAAGTGGACGTAACGTTACCTGCTGAACGATGGATATTCGCAAATAACCGTTAGTCCTATAGCTGATATATGTTATGAAAACATAGGTTCTCTGAGATGTTTCTTAATCAATTTACTGTCCTGTGATACCTAGCATACTCCCTCTCGGACAGTACACCACAAACACCAGGAACAACTTCTCGGATGTTGTGAATGACGTAATGCGTCGCCGCAGTGTGAAAGGTTGCCAAGTTCTCGCGATACTTCGTCGCCTTTATATTCTCAGCTTGCGCTCTCTTCGGCCTTTTCCTTTTTCACTTTTGTGGTGAAGGTGCAACAGTTTTCGGTCGTCCCGAATCCGGGTTCATCCGACACCCTCACCAATTCCAATTGAAGTGAACTCAACTTCATCTGATACACCATGCCTCCTAAATTCGACCCCAACGAGATTAAAGTTGGTATGTGTGAGGAATACTGTAACGTTTCGACGGGTTTTTGAGCGTGACCAAGCGGCCATGTTTGTGCTCTGGGCTCCAGAGCGCCGGGACTATAATAAACGATGAATGGGTAAAACTACTGAGCTTTATCTAACCGAACAATTTTAAACTTAATGTCTAATCGGATTGAATGTTATGTGTCTTTAGAAGTGCCAGCTGCGGCTTATTTTAACGATTCATCGTAAGCTTTGAAACGTGATTAATGTGCTCTAGTTCAGCAGTTTGCTGCACACGTGATCATCATGGAACTCGTGTCTTTAGCTTAATAGTGCAGAATAGTCTGTAGAATTGTCAAATACGTTATGTAGTTTTAACGTGCCTTTTATTTTAAACGTGCAATAGTAAGTTACAAATAATAGAAATTGCAGTACAACTGCTGCATATAAAGTTTATCATTTTATAAAGATCAACATTAGCGTTTATTCAAAAATGCATATAAAATATACCATTAAAAAGTTAGCGCTATTATTTAATGTACATTATTCGCCTTTAAGCTGAAAGTAACCAGGTGAATTTTATTGACTTGTCTTGATCAAATGGACAATCGAAGTTGCCCGTTACTTAAATTATAGCTTTGGTGACTAAGTACAATGTAGAACTCCAGCTAGTGTTCTTTTAACAACTTTGGGGGGGGGGGGGGAATTTCTGCAAACAATGGTATATTTATAATGCCATACTTTGTCTCTCTATAGGCCAGTTTGCCCATTTTCTTTTCGGTTGTAGCATAATTATTATGGCTTGCATTTTTTTAACTGACCTTTGTAAGATGCTGTGCTGTTTTCAGTTGCTGTAAATGATACACGATGCTAAATAGTTTAAGTTCTCTCTTCGCTAATGTCACACAGCAGTCAACACAATCTTAAGAACATTGTGAGTTTAGTTGTTAATGAGGCTAGTTGTCTCTCTACATTTCTTAATTTAGTTTTTTTCTTTTTAGTGTTCATGAGATGCACTGGTGGAGAGGTCGGTGCCACTTCCTCGCTGGCCCCCAAAATTGGACCTTTGGGTCTTGTAAGTATTGCCATAATAGTCCAATCTGATATAGATTTGCTTTAAGATATTCAGAGAGCTGTGTGATTTATCTGATGTGATATTGTAATTAATATGACGGGCTTTAATCCAAGTCTTTTGAGCCACAAAATGCATGTATAGGTCATTTCAGTGTGGTCATGTCATTGGCCCATAAACATTTCCTGCTTGTTATCATGCTTTTTCATAATTGTAAAAAAGCGAATCAATTTTAACTTAATCCTCTATCATACCATTATCAATATGTGGCTCTTTTTGGATCCTCAGAAGCTCTGAAAATTAAAAATGTAAAACAGGAAATGCGTTGGGACCGTTGTTTTTGTTTACATGCCTCAAAATAGTCTGAGGACTCTGTAACTATATAATTAGTTAAATTTAATAATTACTAAAATAAAAAGACTTTTGTATTTTTAACCAACTATCAGTGTCAGAGCCACTACACATGTTTAGACAACCATTTATCAAACAAGATTATATTACAAATTTTATTTTACTCTTCCAATTCTAAGAAATTTTTTCCATTGTCAAAGCCGAACATTAGCTACACATTATGGTGTTTCCATCCAATTGTTTTTATGCACACTTTGGATATGCACATTTAAAGTTTATTTGAAGTGCCGAAATGCACATTTAAAAAACAAACAAACCTTTTATTTGGTAAGATGCGCATAAACTACAATGTAAACATTTTTACTGAACAAATTCCAGTATGTGCATTAAAAAGTCATGTTTGCTATAAGATAATGTGGTGATAATGTGTGTGAATGGGCAAACCAGCCGGCTGGGCACATTGTAAAACATCTGAAATGTTGTTTTGGTCATTCTAAAAGGCCAGTATTAATGTTATTATATTAATTGCCTCCAGAATTGTCGAGTGGCTGTGCTCTGTGTCTGACGCTTCAAATGCCATCACATGTTTATAGTGTGTTGGCATACTGCCTTCTGAGGCATTAATCACTTATTAAACAAAGATATTCACGTAGCTTCTCCTACTTAATCAGCAAATGATGATTTTGTTCTCTTTGACTTGGCTGGAAACGCTGTTTTATTTACATGTCTTATGCAATATTTTGTATATGTGCGCAAGTTTAATTTGCATCTTTGGATGGAAAAATTGCTGATGTTGAATGAATATTATCAAATTATTTCGTAATTTAATTGTTCAGTCATAAAGACTGTTTTTGATTTATTCAGTATTGCTTATTAGGTGCTCGCCACCAATACCTAAAAGTGCATATTTATTTGTCTGTCACAAACCTGTGCTCCTATATCAGCCTCCCGCCACTGTGCTAGTCTTTTAAAGTGACTCTGTACAATCCAGTGGAGGCTCAGAGTGACCCAGCTCTAGGAAGCAGGGCGGCCCAAACTAATGGGCAGCTCTGTGCCGAAAGACCTGGAACAAACTACTTTACATCAAAGAACATTTACTCCATTAAATGCTGCATGCTAATTTTCCATTCTCTCTTTCCATCAGTCCCCTAAAAAGGTGGGTGATGACATCGCAAAGGCCACCGGTGACTGGAAGGGCCTGAGAATCACTGTGAAGCTGACCATCCAGAACAGACAAGCAGCGGTAAGCGCTTAAAGTCTTTCAGCCCGTATAGTGGCTCTTGCGGTCATGTAGCCTTTAGATGCTTACAAGTTTTGTTGTTGTTCCAGATTGAGGTAGTGCCATCAGCCTCTGCCCTCATTATCAAGGCTCTGAAGGAACCTCCCCGTGACAGGAAGAAGGTCAAGAACAGTAAGTGGCTTTTTACCCCACCTCAATGCACTATTGTAGGAATGGCATCTTTTGTGTCTTGTGACCTTTTGTGGCTATGGACCGTGAGCCTCCCGCCACTGTGCTTGTCTGTAAGAGTGACTGTGTACTGTCCAGAGGAGGCTCAGAGTGACCCAGCTCTAGGAAGCAGAACTGCCCAGTTTCATGGGTAACTCTGTGCCGAAAGGTCTGGGACATGTTTACTTGTGCAAATCAGAGCTTTATTGTATGGTAGAATATAGTGCACGCATACAAGGCACGATATTCATGGTAAAGGATATGAAAAATGGAAATATTTGCCAGTAAAAACATTAAGGATACAAGTTTGTGGTCAGTAACTTATTTAATTAAATGTTGCTGCTAAAATATTTACATCAATCCTGAAGTGAAGATGTTTTTACCCCATCATTAACCAACACAACTGTTATTAGAAGGTCTAGAGCACAAAAACAGCATTTTAAAAATGACATGACAATTCATCTCACATGACTTTCCAGCTTTTTGATAAACAATGTGTGCCTGCTTTAAATTAATTGCATTAAATCTTACCCACCAACAAAACTTTGAACAGTGCTGTGCATAGTATCTGTTTGACATGAGCAAATTTAGTATTTCTCCTGACATTTATCATGTTACTCTTTCCTTCTATAGTCAAGCACTCTGGAAGTGTTGCTTTTGATGAGATCGTCAACATTGCCCGCGTCATGAGGCACAGATCAATTGCCAGGGAACTTTCAGGTATGTACTGTCCATGTGCATCTACACATGAATGTCTCCATGAGCCTCCCGCCACTGTGCTTGTCTGTAAGAGTGACCGTGTACTGTCCAGAGGAGGCTCAGAGTGACCCAGCTCTAGGAAGCAGGACTGGTCAATTCAGTGACTAGCCCTGTGCCAAAAGGCCTGGAACATGGCATATAATCTTGCATGCTTGAGTGCTGTTGATTTGGTCTGTGATCATGAATCTTTTCCTCTGCCGCTCAGGTACCATTAAGGAGATTCTTGGCACAGCTCAGTCTGTGGGCTGCACCATTGATGGTCGCCTTCCCCATGATGTCATTGATGACATCAACAGCGGTGCAGTTGAGTGCCCAACTGTAAGTATTGTGCCACTAATCCTGCTTTGCAATGGTTATTTCACTTGCTGGCTTTAATTAGACTTTCTTTTTATTACAGGAGTAAAATGGAGGATTGAAGACCAAAATAAATTTTTCATAAGCATAAAGTTTGACTTCTGTGGTTTGTGACCTTCTATAATCCTCAATGTATTGTAGAGAAGGGATCTGGGCCTTGAGGTGAGAGGATACTTTAAAAGGAAAATGTTTAGTATTAAAGTAGAATCAGAATTGTATGCAACTACGAAATGAGTTTAATAGAGCTTTGAGGAGCAATATTTAAAAATTTACTTAATGTTTAGTCACAAGACCCAGTATCTTTATACATAGGACACAGCATAAATATTTAGTCGTATTTAGTGT